ACAGAGCTCCTTCCCCCCCTGGGGCTGGAACAGAGCTCCTTCCCCCCTGGGGCTGGAGCAGCCTCCCCCTTTCCTCTGTGCTCTCATGCTCATCCCTTGCTACAGAGAACCATTGGCCAGATCCTTGCCTCTACTGAGGCCTTCAGCCGCTTCGAAACCATCCTGGAGGTAAGTTTGTTGGGAAAGGCCTTAGCCCATCTGATCTTTTGGGCCAGGACCCCCCATTACTAACTCACCGTGATCTGGGGCTCTGGAGTAGCACGGGCCCTTGCCCATGCCCCCATCCTAGAACCTGCCCGTCACCATCCTGGTGTTCTGTGGTAGCATGTACCCATTGCCGCTGTCTCCTACTTCCTCCTTACGGGAGTTCCCTGCAGGCTGAGGGTGGCAGGGCCCCAGCAGGGCTCAGAGGTGGAGGCTGGCCACAGAGCCTCCCTGAGCCTCCTTCCCACTGCCACAGAACTGTGGGCTGCCCTCCATCCTGGATGGGCCTGGGCCCTTCACAGTCTTTGCCCCAAGCAATGAGGCTGTGGACAAGTTGCGGGATGGCCGCCTGATCTACCTCTTCACAGCGGTAAGCTCGGCGGGGAGAAGGAACGGGGGAGATGGGGCACCCGGGCCTCCACTGGCCCCTGCCACGCCCTCTCTCTCCTGCCAGGGTCTGTCCAAGCTGCAGGAGCTGGTGAAGTACCACATCTACAGCCATGGCCAGGTGAGAGGCTCCGAAGACCAGCCTGTACCCTCAGCTGGGCTTCTGGAAGTTTGCCTGTAGGTCCTGGTCTCCCAGGGCCCCTTCTCCTCTCCCCATCCATTTGGACACTTAGGGTGCAAAAGAGAGTCTAGGGACAAGTGTGGTAGCTGTGAGTCACCTGGGCGGGGCCGTGTGGGGCCCTACGGTGTGGCTCATGCCTGGCCTAAGGCCCCACCCTCTCCTCCACCCAGCTGACCATTGAGAAGCTCATCTCCAAGGGCCGGGTCCTCACCATGGCAAACCAGGTCCTGGCTGTGAATATCTCCGAGGAGGTGAGCCCCACAAACCAAATGTGGAATGAATGGGCCAGTGGAGGGGCTGGTGATGACCGGCCAGTGGTGTGGCCTCTTTTGGACCTGCCTTTGGGCTCCGAGCCCCATGGAGGGCAGGCTCTGGAGGGGGGGGGGGGCACGTGGGAGGCACACACAGATCCTATCCCTCTCCTGGGGCCCAACAGACAGGGAGGGCTCCAAAGACGTGGAGGGTGGTTTCAAGGGTAGGGGGCTGGCGCTCCATGGGGCTCAGGGCCTGGAGGCTGGAGCGGTTTTGCCAGAGCGGGTGGCGTTGCCTGGGATAGGGAAGAGATGGCCTGCAGGCTGGGCTGTAGGGGTAAGGGCGGCAGCGGGCCCGGGGGGCTGCCAGGCTGGGCCGCTGGTACACTGGGCTCTGCCACAGGGGCGCATCCTGCTGGGACCAGAGGGGCTCCCGCTACGGAGAGTGGATGTGCTGGCCTCCAATGGCGTGATCCACATGCTGGAGGGCGTCCTGCTGCCCCCGACCATCCTGCCCATCCTGCCTAAGCACTGCAGCGAGGAACAGCACCAGATCGTGGCAGTGAGCACACACCACACGCTGGGGGCCCAGACCTGCTTGTTCTCCTCCAGCAGGCAGGGAGGCCGACAGTGGGGCTGGGGCCTGGGCACCGACCCCACACCCCCACCACCAGGCCTCAGCAGTCCTGCTGATCGTTCCTTCGAGATCACTCCCACATCTTCTGGCCCTCTGGCCCTGCCCTCTGCTACGATGCCCACGCTCCCACACTCAGCCCTTCCCCATGGCAGGGCCTTTGCCCTTGCTATGCCTTCGGCCCTGGCCCTCCTGTCATTGACTCTCTCATACCTCAGGCCTTGGCTCCATGCCAGTTTCCTAGGGTCCACTGAATAAATAAACCATGACTAACTCTGCCCCGCCTCCCCCTGCCCCGCCCAGGGCTCCTGTGTGGACTGCCAAGCCCTGAACACGAGCACGTGCCCCCCCAACAGTGTGAAGCTGGTGAGTGTCCCTCAGCCCGGCCCTCAGGGCTGCCCAGTGAGACTTCTGCCCTGGATCAAGGCAGGGAGGAGGGGTTGCGAGGCTCAGCTGGACCCGGAGGCTTAGCCCCTCTAGGCCCCACTAAGGGTAGGGGTGCTGGATCCAGAGTGCTGCGAGGTCTCTGGACCAGTGCTGCCTGGCAAAGGGAGCCAGCTCAGGACCCACACCTGCTGACCAGCTTTGCACCGCCCACCCCAGGACATCTTCCCCAAGGAGTGTGTCTACACCCATGACCCTACTGGGCTCAACGTCCTGAAGAAGGGCTGTGCTCACTCCTGCAACCAGACCGTCCTGGTGAGCCTGGGCGAGGGTGCTCCCTGCACGGTAGGCCGGGGCCTCCCCTCTGGGGCGGAGCAGGCTGCCTCCCTGGGAGAGCTGGGTTGCACCCCCGAGGGGCTGTACCCGACTCTACAGGTGGGGCATGGGGGCAACAGCAGCCTGGGTGGTGGGGGTGGTGGGGCCTCAGACGCACCCTCCGACACGCTTTGTCTCTCACAGAAACCTGGCTGCTGCAAAGGGTTTTTTGGGCCTGACTGTGCCCAGTGTCCTGGGGGCTTCTCCAACCCTTGCTACGGCAAAGGCAATGTGAGTACCCCTGCCCCGGGGCAGCTGTGTGAGTCGGCCGGGGCTCCTCGTGTGTCTGAGCTGGCCTACCTCTCTGGCCTTGGGTTTCCCACATCCTGGCAGAGGAAGTTGGGCCATATTGTTTTTAGTATTTTAATTAGAAATAATTAGAGCAATGCTTTCAGGTCCCCTTCCTCTTTGGGAGCTTTGTACTATCACTCGGTAAACCTTGCTTTACTGCCCACCACAAAAAAAGAAATAATTAAGTAGTTGGAATTTGGCACCTAAAAGGTGCTAAGCCTCATAAAGTTTGTCAGTGGTTTTCCTTTTTTTTTTTTTTAAGATTTTATTTATTTATTTGAGAGAGAGAGCGAGAGAGAGCACGAATGGGGTGAGGGGCAGAGGGAGAAGCAGGCTCCCCACTGAGCAGGGAGCCCGATGCAGGGCCGATCCCAGGACCCCGGGATCATGACCTGAGCCGAAGGCAGACGCTTAACCGACTGAGCCACCCAGGCGCACCCCATCAGTGGTTTCCTTGGGTGTTCTGTTTTTGCCACTTTGTAACGTCAGGGTTACTTTAGTGCTGGGCCAGGGATCAGCACAGGAGTTGAGGATTTCTAGGTTGAGCCAAGGTCATCCATGAAGCCTCCAGGGCTGGCTGTCTTTTGGGGAGCCAGTGATTTGGAGGTCTCTTCCAGGGGGAGAAGGGGCTCAGAGCCAGCCCGTGGACGGTGAAGGTGTGCGGGGAGGGGATGAGGCCAGTCCCCACCCCATGACCGGTCCTGCTTCCTTCCCACCCCTAGTGCAGTGATGGGGTCCGGGGCAATGGGGCCTGCCTCTGCTTCCCAGACTACAAGGGCATCGCCTGCCACATCTGCTCCAACCCAAACAAGCATGGAGACCGGTGCCAGGAAGGTGGGTGGTCCTGGCCCATGCTGCCTGCCAGGGAGAAAAGGGTCTGCTTGGAAAGGGGGCTGGGGACTCCCAAGAAGGGGAATAGAGCCCCAGGAGCAAGGGTGAAGGCCAGAGGAAGGGGAGCAGGATTTGAGAACAAAACTAGATGATGCCTCCTTCCCCCACGCCAGGCAGGACGAGAGCTGTGGTTTAATCTAAAGCATGCAGGATTTGGGTCAGACACACAGAAGAACTTTCAGATGGTGGTGTCAGGGGCAGGGCAGCTAGAATGGGGTGACTGAAAGCAACAAATGGCCCCCTTGCATTTCCCCTGAGGCCGGGGCAGCCCCTGACTTTGTGACCCTGAAGTCACATCTGTGCTGGCTGCCGTCTTCCACATTCCCAGCGCCCCCTTAGCTGCATCCTGGCTCTCAGCCAGCCCTGCCCCCGCCTCACCTTTCCCGTCGCCATGTCCTCCCTGCAGACTGCGGCTGTGTCCACGGTCTCTGTGACAACCGTCCAGGCAGTGGGGGCGTGTGCCAGCAGGGCACGTGTGCCCCAGGCTTCAGCGGCCGCTTCTGTAACGAGTCCGCAGGAAACTGTGGGCCCACTGAGCAGGCCCAGCGCTGCCACTCGCATGCCCGCTGCGTCAGCCAGGGGGGCGTCACCAGGTGAGCATCGCATTTCCTCTCTGCCTCGTCCGTGACCATGCATGTCGGCTCATTCAGCCTCCAGCCTCGTCCAGAGGCTCACGGGAGGCCCTTCATTCCCCTGCCCCAGGTGTGTCTGTCTCGATGGCTTTGAGGGCGACGGCCTCTCCTGTGTGCCTGGAAACCCCTGCTCCCACCCAGACCGTGGTGGCTGCTCAGAAAATGTCAGTCTCATTGGCCCTTCCTGAAGTCCTGAGCTGGGGGTGGAAGGGGGACTCCCTTTTCCTCAGCCCTCCGCCCTGCGGCCCTGGGTCACGTCCGTGGCTCTCACAGGCCGAGTGTGTCCCTGGGGCCCGGGGCACCCACCACTGCACATGCCACAAAGGCTGGAGCGGGGACGGCCGCGTCTGTGTGGCCATCGATGAGTGCGAGCTGGATGCGAGAGGCGGTTGTCATGCCGACGCCCTCTGCAGCTACGTGGGACCTGGGCAGGTGAGGCTTGGCGGGCCTCGAGCCGGGTGTGTGTGTGTGTGGGGGGGTGGGTATTTGTTCCGGGGGACTCTCACCCAACCCCGTCTGGCTCCAGGAGCATCCACTCTGAGAACTGCTCAGGGCCTCAAACCCCAGGCACAAGTGAGAATCCAGGTCTGAAAGGTAGTGCCGTCCGTTCTAGAAGCCGCCGAAGCGTGCAGGAGACGACACAAAGGCAGGGGCGGTTTTAAAGGCAGGCATGTGCCGGCGCCAGCCCCAGGCCGCTTGTTCCACACCGTGTTCCGCCAAGGCCGTGGCTCCTGTCCCTTGGGGATGAGGACTCTCGTAACCGGGTTCACGACTCTTCTGCTCTACCTGGCCTTGGGGCCGCTGTCTTCTGACAACTAGGTCCTTCCTTCACTCATCAGGTTCCCATGGGGTACCAGGCGTGCTAGTCCCTGCTCTAGACTTAGGAATGCGATGCTGAGCAAAGCAGGAGATTCCTGCCCCAGGGGAGTGACATCCCCGAACCCTTTAGACTCCTGGAAATCCAGCTGTGGAGTTTACAGCCTCAGACTCCAGCCACCGGGTCTCAGCATCTGGAGCTTTTCATGTGAGGCAGGTCAGGCCCATGACCCCGAGCACTGGGCAGCACTCACATGTCTACTATGCCGACGGGGAGGCCAGGCCTGACTGGCTCAGGGTCAGCGTGTGCAGGGACCTGCCCCACGATGGCTGGACCACCCGCCTGCACCCCCAGCTCCACAAGGAGCTACGCGGTTCTAAAGTGCTGAACCAAGGACCAGAATAAACAGGTTGAGATGCCCCCAAGTTGCAGATGAGGGCAACTGAGATCTGGGACTATGGCCGGTCACTCAGCTGCAGTGGGGACAAGCCCCGGACTCGGGCATTTATCGGGAAGGATCAGAGTGGGGTGGCAGGGTCAGAGATGAGTGTGTGCCGCCATCCCTGGGGCTGGCCTCGAAGACATCTGCCCGCTCATCACACACTGCTGGCCTCTCTCAGGCCTCAGAGCAGAGGGGTACCAAGTCCCCATGGATGCTTCCCTGCCAATGCCATCCCTTCTCTGGACTCTTCCTGAGAGCCAGGCTCCCCTTAGGGCCTCGGGCTCCTGGTCTGGAACAGGGATCTCCATGGAGGGGCATAGGAGAAGCTCCTCGGGTCTGAATATGCTTCCCCAGGGGACAAGGCCCGTGGAGAGTGGGGGAGCAGAGGAGGAGAGGGTGGCCGCCCCCGGTGAGCTGAGGCCCTCTGCTCCCAATCTCTCCAGAGCCGGTGCACCTGCAAGCTGGGGTTCGCCGGGGACGGCTATGAGTGCAGCCCTATCGACCCCTGCCGGGCAGGCAACGGTGGCTGCCATGACCTGGTGAGAGGCCGCGGTGGCCTGGGGCCCAGGGGAGGCTCTCTGGGTGGGCCTCAGCTCTGGTCCACTCTCTGGGTGTCCCTGTCTGTGGCCAGGATTGGAATCTCTCTAAGGCCCCAATCCAGACCGTGTCACCCCTTCGCCCACAGGATAGGGCTTCCATTCCTTGTTAAGGCCCCAGCCCCTGCCCCGCCTCCGGTTTCCACCCCCTCCCCCACTCCATGCTCCTGTGCCTACCCTGACCTCTCTCTGCCTGTGTGTTCCAGAAGGCCTCCCAGCTAGCTCCTCCTGCTTTCGGGGCAGGCCCTCCCCTCCTGGGTGCTCCCTCTGCCCTGGCCTTTGCCAACCCATCTCTCATGATGGGCTGGGGTAACTCACGTCAAATGGTCAGTGATCTTGGAGAGCAGGGCCACGCCAACCAAGGGAGCAACATGAATGCAGACTGGCTGGCTGGATAGACAGACGGTGGGGCTGGTTGGCAGGACAGGTGATAGGTGATAAGGGTGAGATGTAGGCTGGGTGCTGTCCATCTTGCCATCTGGGTACTGAATGGAGGACCCTGTCTCTTTGCCCCACCCCCACCCCAGGCCACCTGTCGGGCAGTGGGGGGAGGTCAGCGGGTCTGCACATGCCCCTCTGGCTACGGGGGTGATGGCTTCAGCTGCTACGGAGACATCTTCCAGGTGAGTGGGTCCCTATGCGTGGGTTGGGGGAGTCCTCTAGTGCATCTCAGGTGGGAAAGGACAGTACTCAGGGTCCTGGTGAGGAAGGGGCTTGGATTTGTCCCTAGACTGATGACCTCAGCTCTTTCCCTCCCCTTAGGAGCTGGAGGCAAATGCCCACTTCTCCGTCTTCTACCAGTGGATCAAGGTAGGACAGGGCAGAACACTGGGGTTGAGGCTCAAATCCAGGAGGCCTCCCTGGATGCAGAGGTGCCACATAATATCTCCAAGAGCTGGAAGTGGGGGCAGGCCTGGAGGCTGGGAGCAAGCAATCTCAGGTGGCTACCTTCATCACTCCCCCTGTCCCCCTGTCCCCACACACACAGAGTGCTGGCCTCGTTCTTCCCACGGACAGCCGAGTCACCGCCCTGGTGCCCTCTGAGTCTGCCATCCGTAGGTTGAGCCCCGAGGACCAGGCCTTCTGGCTGCAGCCAAGGGCGCTGCGGCAACTGGTCAGGTGGGCAGCCAGGGCGGGGACCCAGGGTGGGGAAGAGATTTCCGTGCGAGACCCCGCCCCCCCAGAGGGTCTCATCCCGGCTGTGTCCACCTCTTGGGGTGGAGCCCAGTCCCAGGGGTCTCTGTTGGTTACACTAACTTGGCTCCATGCCCCACAGGGCCCATTTTCTCCAGGGTGCCTTGTCTGAGGAGGAGCTGACCCGGCTGGGTGGGCAGGATGTGGCCACCCTGAGCCCTACCACACGCTGGGAGATTCACAACATCAGTGGGGTACGTGGTGAACGTTGGGCAGCAGAGGGGGCCGTGCAGAGCATGGGAGGGAACTTGAGTGGCCACCATCTTCCCAGGCCAGGGCCCCCGGGGCTGAGCTTGAAGTCACCCGGACCTGCCCAGGGCCAGCACACGGGCTACTCAGTGTCTTTGGGCCGGGAGGGACTGCCCTGCCTGGGGTCGTCTGTGTCTCTGTGTCTGCATGTGCACGCCTGTCGCTCTTGTGCGGCCCTGGGTGGGTCTGGAGGCGATGGTAGGTTCTGAGGGTGTCCAGGCCAGGCTGGGGGCCGCCAGTAGATGCCTGTGTGCCCAGCAGAATCTCTGTTGGTGTTGTACTGACTCTTAAGTGTCCATCTGTGCCTACCCGTGGCTGAGCTCTGCTTGCTCCTTTCCAGAGGGTCTGGGTTCAGAACGCCAGTGTGGATGTGGCCGATCTCCTCGCCACCAATGGTGTCCTACATGTCCTCAGCCAGGTACGGCTGGAGGGGTGTGTGTGGGGAACCGCCTGGGCCAAGGGGCGCTGGCGTGCTGACCAGCCCCGGTGCTCCCCATGGCAGGTCTTGCTGCCTCCGAGGGGGCACGTGCTGCCTGGGGAGGGGCTGCTGCAACAGCTGGACCTGGTGCCTGCCTTCCGCCTCTTCCGGGAGTTGCTGCAGGTGAGCAACAGAGGAGAGAGGGGGAGTGCCCTCCCCCAGGCCTGGAGGGAGCTGGCCGGCTCCGGGGTCGGGGCCGAGGGCGATTAGGCCCATTGGTGACCCCGGCCCCTTGCCCTTAGCACCACAAGCTGGTGCCCCAGATTGAGGCTGCCACGGCCTACACCATCTTCGTGCCCACAAACCGCTCTCTGGAGGCCCGGGGCAACAGCAGCAGGCTGGTGAGGCCATGGGGATGGGGCCGCTGCAGGGGAGGGTGAAAGCCGGAGTGAGCCTCCCATCCCACGGCAAAGCGACAAGGCAGGTGGAATGGCAGTCCCTGGAGCCCCTGAGCTTCTCCATCCGGCTTCCCGGCCAGGACGCAGACACCGTGCGGCACCACGTGATCCTGGGGGAGGCACTCTCCGTGGAGGCCCTGCAGAGAGGGGGACACCGCAACTCGCTCCTGGGCCCTGCCCACTGGCTCGTCTTCTACAACCATAGCGGCCAGGTTTGCAGGGGTGGGGGGCAGGGAGCAGGGAGCCTGCAACCTCTGCTCCAGCAGAGACCACCCATCCTGGGAGACCCCCTCCCTGCCACCAGCCCCCCCACCCCCCCCACCCCGGCCATCCCATAGCCCCAAGGCGAGGGGCGAGGGTGGTAGTGCTGGGGGATGGACTCAGCCTCCCACCGCACTCCTCAGCCTGAGGTGAACCATGTGCTGCTGGAAGGCCCTGTGCTGGAGGCCCCGGGCCGCTCGCTGTTTGGCCTGTCGGGGGTCCTGACCGTGGGCTCAAGCCGCTGTCTGCACAGCCACGCCGAGTCTCTTCGGGTGAGAGCCTGAGGCCCGGGGGTTGTGCGGGGTTGTGGGGAGAAGAGCTGAGGGGGTTCGGAGCTGGGAGGTGCTGGCTGGCCTGGCTGGCAGGGAGGGGCACTGGGACAGGGTGGGAGAGGAAGGAAGGTGGGTTTGGCGGCCCCATCCCAGCACCACCTGACTCCCCCCCACCTCCCCAGGAGAAATGTGTAAACTGCTCCCGAAGATTCCGCTGCACTCAGGGCTTCCAGCTGGAGGTGAGGACAGGGGCTCAGCAGCGCTCTCTGCTCTGCAGGTGTCCAGCTCCCGGGGCCCAGCTGGCTGCGCCCCCCTTGGGGCATGGAACAGCCAGGGCTGCCTGGGCCCAGGTCGGCCTGTCTCCACCCCTCCCTGATCTGCTGTCCTGCTCATCCACTGACCCCTGTCTGCCTGGCTTCCTGTTCACTGCCCTGCCCCTACCCAAACCGCAGGCTGAGCCCTCCTGCCTGTCCCTGTTTCCAGAACACCCCCAAGAAGAGCTGTGTCTACCGATCTGGCTCCTCCTTCTCCCGGGGCTGCTCTTACACATGTGCCAAGAGGATCCAGGTTTGCCTCCCAACACCCCCACCCCCAAGTCTGACCAGAAAGGGGGAGGTGGGAGCGCAGGCCCAGGGGAGGAACCCGGACTAGGTGTCAAGGGCAGAGGCAGGGCTTGGGACTAGGGTGAGGCCAGTGGAGCCAGGGCCCAGACGGAGAGGTCTGAGGTCACTGGGGCCAGTGTCTGTCCTGTGGCCACGCCCCAGGGAGTGGGGATGGGGAGAGGGAAAAGGGGCTCTTCCTGGACCCCATCAAGCAGGCCCCAGCGCAGTCGGTCCCTCACTGTGGCATCCGGCACAGCTGTGCCCGGCCCGAGGCTCCGTTTCCTCACCCCTGCCACAGGGCGGGTCGCAGAAGGCAGCCTCCATTTCCCTGGTCCCTGCTCGCGTCATTGGCTGGCTTTGTGGCCTGTCCCCGCCACCCCTCTCATTTCCCTCCTCCCCACCTCTGGCCTGGGCCGGGCCTCTCCCTGTCCCCTCCCCACAGGTGCCCGACTGCTGCCCCGGCTTCTTTGGCACACTGTGCGAGCCGTGCCCGGGGGGTCAGGGCGGTGTGTGCTCGGGCCACGGGCAGTGCCAGGACAGGCTCCTGGGCAGTGGGGAGTGCCGCTGTCACGAGGGCTTCCACGGAACCGCCTGTGAGATGTGTGAGCTGGGCCGCTATGGGCCCAGCTGTGCTGGAGGTGAGCACCGGGGAGGGCAGAGGACAGCAAGCATGGAGACGGCCCGGCCGGGGCAGGGGGAGGCACTGGGGCAACTCCTGTCCTCCCTTGTCCTGCTCCCAGTCTGTGACTGTGCCCACGGGCTGTGCCAGGAGGGGCTTCAAGGGGACGGCAGCTGTGTCTGTAACGTGGGCTGGCAGGGCCCCCGCTGTGACCAGAGTGAGTAGCCTCAAGGGGGAGAGGAGGGTGACTCCTGGGGAGGTACTTCCCGGGTCCAAACGACCAGAACTATCTTCCTACCCCCGCCCCTCCCAGAGATCAGTGGCCCTCAATGCCCAAAGAAGTGCGACCCCAATGCCAAGTGAGTGAACTCAGCCTGGGGCGGGTGGGCAAGCGGGCAGGGGCCCTGGGGTCAGGCCCGGCCCAGGCTGAGCTAACGCCATCCCTCCCAGCTGCCTACAGGACTCGGCGGCAGCCCCGGCCTGTGTCTGTGCCGCGGGATACTCGGGCAACGGCATCTACTGTTCAGGTGGGGTCACATGGGATGCTCCGGGCGCCCACCGTGAGATTTTCCGTGAGATTTCACCCTGATGCTTTCCCTGCAGAGCCCTCGCCAGTCCTTCTGGGGCCAGTTTCCATCCGGTTCCCATCTCGGGTCTCACCCTTCCCTCTGACCTTTTCCTTTCTCCCCCTGCCCTCCTCCCCTGGCCCCACGCTGTCCCTGTGCCTGCTCCTCACAACTCTCTGGGATCATCTGCCCCTAGAGGTGGACCCCTGTGCGCAGGACCATGGGGGCTGCTCCCCCCACGCCAACTGCACCAAGGTGGCACCTGGGCAGCGGACGTGCACCTGCCAGGATGGCTACACAGGAGATGGGGAGCTGTGCCAGGGTGAGCCTGGGACCCCCACCCTGGGCGTACGTGGGGCCAGGGCTCTGGCTTCAGTGTTATAAGACTAGGAGAGGCTGAGGGGCCCACAGGGGGCACTGAGAGCCTGGCAGTGAGCACCTGAAGGCACAGATGAATGGAAGGGCTGCCTCTCACCCTAGCGTCTCCCCACACAGAGGTCAACGGCTGTCTCATCCGCCACGGGGGCTGTCACATGCATGCCGACTGTATCCCCACAGGCCCCCAGCAGGTCAGCACAAGAGAGGCGGACACGGAGGCTGTACCATTTGCTCAGAGGGTGGGGCCCCCCCTCAGACTGGGGAGGAGGTGCTCCTTCTGTCCAGGGTGCTGGCCTGCTCTTGGGTCCCAGCAGCCGTACTGATCAGGATTTGGGACAGGTCTCCTGCAGCTGCCGTGAGGGTTACAGCGGGGATGGCATCTGGACCTGCGTCCTCCTGGACCCTTGCTCCCAGGTCAGGCCCCAGCCCCGCCTCATTTCACAGGGGAAGGGGACTAAGGTGGGAACCAGCCCTCCTTGCCCCCGTCAAGGTCCTAAAGGCCTCTGAAGGGTGAGCCACCCTCCCACAAACTCGAATCTGACTGCTCAGTAGCCAACAGGGCTTTGGGGCTCGGACAGGGGCCTTCATGGCCCCTTACCCAGGGCTGGGTGGGGCAGAAGAGTCTGGGAGCCACTGATGCCTCTCTCTCCTGTCCCTATGTCAGAATAATGGAGGCTGCAGCCCCTACGCCGTGTGCAAAAGCACGGGGGATGGCCAGAGGACATGCACCTGTGACGCGGCCCACACAGTGGGCGATGGCTTCACCTGCCGCGCCCGAGTCGGCCTGGTAATGATGCCCAAGCTGGACCCCTGACCCAGCCTTGGCTATGACCTCCATGGGCCTGACCCATGATATTGGTCAAGACCCCAGATTTGATCCTGATCCTGGCCTTGACCATGACCCTGACCCCCTGACTCCACCTGGGCCTGACCCAGCTATGATCCATGAAATGAATCCTGACCCCAGCTCAGACCCCCGGCTTTCCTTTCCTCATCTCTGCCTTGGCCAGACCTTGGGCCGCAGGTGCTGGGAGAGGCACCAGGCCCTGAATGGGGGCCACCCAAAATCTGAGCTGATCCTCGCCCCCCCCAGGAGCTCCTTCGGGACAGGCATGCCTCATTCTTCAGCCTCCACCTCCTGGTAAGTGACCAGCTGGCTTCCAATTCTTTGGTCCAGAGAGCCTGGGCCTCTCTGATCTGCAGGTCCTACCCGTCTCTGGGCCTCCATGTTCTCATTTGGTCAGGGGGTTGGCTGTTCTGGGCTCTCAGAGCCCAAGTCTTTTTTTTTTTTTTTTTTTTAAAATTTTTTTTTTTTTAGGGGGGGGGACAGAGAGTGTGAAAGGCGGGGTGGGGGGGGGGGGGGGGTGGGGGTGGGGAGAGGCAGAGGGAGAAGCAGGCTTCCCACTGAGCAGGGAGCCGGATGATGTGGGACTGGATCCCAGGACCCTGGGACCATGACTTGAGCCAGAGGCAGACACCTAACCAACTGAGCCACCCAGACCCCTCTCAGAGTCCAAGTCTTTCCTGGAGGATCCGTGGGAAGCCCTGAGTTGGTCACAAGTTGCCCCTCTTCTGCTCAAGCTGTTACTGCCTCCCCACAGGAATACAAGGAGCTCAAGGGTGATGGGCCTTTCACAGTTTTTGTGCCCCGCGCAGATCTAATGACCAACCTGTCGCAGGTAAAGCAACCCTCCCCCACCCCCGGCAAGGCTGGGAAGGGATGGGCCCTGTGGGGCAGGGATGGGCAGGGGTGGGTGTGGTGTGGGCAGAGGCAGCGGTCAGGGGCCTCCTTCAACCTTCATGACTCGCACTGCAGGATGAGCTGGCCCGGATTCGCGCCCATCGCCAGCTCGTGTTCCGCTACCACGTGGTCGGCTGCCGGCAGTTGAGCAGCCAGGAGCTGCTGGAAGAAGGCTATGTCACCACGCTCTCGGGGCACCCGCTGCGCATCCACGAGAGGGAGGTGGGCCTGTCCCTGGGCCGGCCCGCCCCCGCCCTGGGCCACCCGAGAGAGCCGGGACTCAGCAGCTTTCAGGCCCTGACCCTGTGCGCCTGGGCCCTGTCCCCGCGCCTTTAAGACCCTCTCACCTCCCCTGGGCCGGGACAGGGCTTTAGTGAGAGGGAGATAGACGAGTCCGGCTCCGGACCGTGCCCACTACCGAAGGCCAGTCCCCAGGCCCAGGACTTCCGAGCCTGGCCCTGTGCCCTTGCCTGTCCCCCTCCCCCACCCTCCAGCCCCGCCTGGCGGTCGGTGTGTTTCCCGGCGCTCTTGGCCCCGCCCACCTGCCCCAAGACTCGCCCAGTGCAGGCCCCGCCCCCATCTGGGGCCCCACCCCTCAGCCTCAGTGTCCCACCAATGGGCTTCATTCGGTCCTGGGCCCCACCTCCAGGGCAGCATCTATCTCAATGACTTCGCGCGGGTAGTGAGCAGCGACCACGAGGCGGTGAACGGAGTCCTGCACTTCATCGACCGAGTCCTGCTGCCTCCTGACGTGCTACACTGGGAGCCTGACGCTGCCCCTGTCCTGCGGGTATGACCTGGGCACAGGCCTGGGAGCTTGCCAGGGCCCTCCCGTGCTCTCTCCCTGCCTGACCTCAAGGCTCACCAGTGCCTTCCCGCAGAGAAACGTCACGGCCGCCGCGGAGGGCTTCGGTTACAAGATCTTCAGCGGCCTTGTGAAGGTACTGCTCCCGCGTGTGGGTATTTGTGCCCGTGCGTGTGTATGCAGATGCCTGTCCATGTGTGAGTGGCTGTGTGTATGTTCACCTGTCTGCACACTCACCTGTGTGTAAGCCTATCCCTCGTGTGCGCACAGGCTATGTATCTGAGCCTCCCAGTGTGAGCACGGGGGTGTGTGCTTATGTATGCCCACGTACCTGAGAATAGTCGAGGTGTGTGTGCAAGTTTATCCCTGCGTGTATGTCCGTGTGCATCTGCCTGGGATGGCTACAGAAGAATGCGGCTGGCAGGAAGGACACCTGGGTCCCTGGAGCCCCTTCCTGGCCTCTGTCCCTACCTCTGCCCCCCAGTCTCTGATTGTCACACCTCTGCTAATCCTTGCCAGGTGGCTGGCCTCCTGCCCCTGCTTCAGGATGCGTCGCATAGGCCCCTCACCATGCTGTGGCCCACAGACTCTGCCCTGCAAGCCCTGCCACCTGACCGCCAGACCTGGCTGTACCACGAAGACCACCGTGACAAGCTGGCAGCCATCCTTCGGGGCCACGTGATTCGCAACATTGAGGTGGGTCTCCCCCCCCCCAGTCCTTGGTCCCCACTGCCTGCCACCCAGCCTGCCCCCCCAGCTCCAACCGTAGCTCCATCTGCTCAGGCCTTGGCATCTGACCTGCCCAACCTGGGCCCACTCCGCACAATGCATGGGACCCCCATCTCCTTCTCCTGCAGCCGTGCCCGGCCGGTGAGTCTGGGAAGCAGGAGGGAAGCAGGGGGCCGGGGCTCTGGAAGTGGCGGGCTGCGCTGCACCTGTGACCCTATGTACTCTCCTTCCTCTGCCCACAGGGTGAGCTCACAGTAGGTGAGGAGGACGCCCGCATCGTGCAGCGGCACCTGCCCTTTGAGGGTGGCCTGGCCTATGGCATTGACCAGCTGCTAGAGCCACCTGGTCTTGGTGCCCGCTGTGACCATTTTGAGACTCGGCCGCTGCGGCTGGTGAGGGAGGCCATAGGTCGGAGGTGGACAGGCCGGGACCCTAGCCTCCCGTCCTGTCAATCCATCCGATCTTACTGTGTTGGCTTCTGTTCCTTCCAGAAGATCTGCAGCATTTGCGGGCTGGAACCGCCTTGTCCTGAGGGTTCACAGGAGCAGGTGAGGCCCTGGGAGCTGGGTGGGGGTTCAGGCAGGGCCCAGGGACCACGAAGCTTAGGCTGTTTGACTCCTCTTGGCCCAGGGCAGCCCCGAGGCCTGCTGGCGATACTACTCAAAGTTCTGGACATCCCCTCCACTGCAATCCTTGGCCCTGCGCAGCATCTGGGCCCGGTCCAGCCTCTGGGGCCAGCCCCAAGGACTGGGCAGGGGCTGCCACCGCAACTGCGTCACCACCACCTGGAAACCTAGCTGCTGCCCTGGTCACTACGGCAGTGAGTGCCGAGGTGAGGGTCCTGAGGTTGCTCCGGCCACTGCTCCTGAGAAAAGGTGTTGGGGCGGTGGGCCCGGGGCAGGTGTGGGTGCTGAGGGCATTTTACTGGGAGAGAAAACACTGGGGGGGGGGGGTCTGTAGGATTCTCAGCAGCAAGGGGACTCGGGGTGGGGGGGAGTTGTGCCTTCTGGAAGAGGCTTGGCTGCCCCAGGTGTGGGACGCACAGCGTGGCTGGGCTGGGGCTGCGTGTGGTAGGGGTCCTGAGGAGATCCCCGGCCCCATACCCTCCCCCTCCTCCTCCTGCTAGCTTGCCCTGGCGGAGCCGGCAGCCCCTGCAGTGGCCACGGCGTGTGCGTGGACGGCATGAGTGGCAGCGGGCAGTGTCAGTGCCATGCGAGCTTTACGGGGATGGCGTGTGAACTCTGTGCCCCGGGGGCCTTTGGACCCCAGTGCCAAGGTGGGCTGTCCCGCCCTCCCCCGCCCCCCCCCCCGCCCTCTGAGCCCTGGGCCACCCTGGCCCCATCCCTGCCCACCCTGGCCCTGACCCCGAACCGCCCCCCCCGCCCCGCCCCCGCCCCATCCTCCTGCCTGTGCCTCTCCCCAGCCTGCCGCTGCAGCTCCCATGGCCGCTGTGATGAGGGCCTGGGGGGCTCTGGTTCCTGCTTCTGTGACGAGGGCTGGACGGGGCCGAGCTGTGAGGTGCAGCTGGGTGAGTGCTCTTTGTGCCCCCACCGCATGCTTATCGGCTTGCAGACACCAGCCAGACCGGCGGCCCACTCAGGCTGAGGCACTGGCGGCGGAGGTGGGGGGGAGATGGGGGGGTGGGAAGGGGATTGGCGGCCTCTAGGAGGGCAGCTCCTCACCTGGGTGTGTGGGGTGGGCCCTGGGGGGACAGAGCTGCAGCCCGTGTGTGCCCCGCCCTGCGCACCCCAGGCCGTGTGCCGCGCCGACAGCAGCTGTGAGTGCGGCCTGGGCTACGAAGGGGACGGCCACACGTGCACAGGTGAGCAGGGGGGTGGGATGCGAGGTGGGGGGCTCCCCCCCGCCCCTCCTGTCCCCTGATCCTGCCACTCTCTCCCTGCCCCCCCCAGTGGCGGACCTGTGCCGGGACGGGCACGGTGGCTGCAGCGAGCACGCCAACTGCAGCCAAGTGGGCACCGTGGTCACCTGCGCCTGCCTGCCCGCCTACGAGGGCGACGGCTGGAGCTGCCGGGCCCGCGACCCCTGTGCTGATGGCCACCGTGGGGGCTGCAGTGAGCACGCAGACTGCTTGAGCACCGGCCCGGTGAGCAGCCGGGGAGCCGGGGAGCTGGGGAGGCTCCACAGAGCGGGCCCCCTCGCTCTCCTGGGGCCCTGAAGAGCACCCACCTGCTCTCCTGCCCCAGAACATGCGGCGCTGTGTGTGCCATGCCGGCTACGTGGGTGATGGACTGCAGTGTCTGGAGGAGCCGGAGCCGCCCGTGGACCGCTGCCTGGGCCAGCCACCACCCTGTCACGTGGATGCCGTGTGCACGGACCTCCACTTCCAGGGTGTGCTTCCCTGCCCGCCCCCAGTGCCCCTGCTTGCCCTCGGTGCCGCTGGGCTGATCACACGTCCCTCCCTTCTGCAGAGAAGCAGGCTGGGGTCTTCCACCTCCAGGCCCCCAGTGGTCCTTACAGCCTGAACTTCTCAGAGGCCGAGGCGGCCTGTGGGGCCCAGGGAGCTGTTCTTGCTTCTCTCCCTCAGCTCTCTGCTGCCCAGAAGGTGTGTGGGGCCCAGGGGTCTGGAGTTGAGCCTGTGGGGGCCCTCTCGAGTTGGGCCTTAGGCTTCAGCATCCCCTCCTGCCCCTACAGCTGGGCTTCCACCTGTGCCTCGTGGGCTGGCTGGCCAACGGCTCGGCTGCCCACCCAGTCGTCTTCCCTGCGGCAGACTGTGGCGGTGGTCAGGTAGGCGTCGTCAGCCTGGGCACCCGGAAGAACAGCTCAGAGCGCTGGGACGCCTACTGCTACCGCGAGCTAGGTGCAGCCCCCTGCCCCAGGGCCGCCCCCCCGCCACCCCATCCCACCCCATGCCCTGGCTTGGCTCCTTCCCACTGACTTCCCCCTCCAAACTGCCTTTCCCGCAGATGTGGCCTGCCGGTGCCGCCGTGGCTTTGTGGGTGACGGGACAAGTGTGTGCAATGGGAAGCTGCTCGATGTCCTGGCTGCCACCGCCAACTTCTCCACCTTCTATGGGGTGTGCAGGGGCCCAGCCTTAGGGCTGAGGGTGTGTGTGTGGGGGTGAGGGGTAGCTGGGGTCCCTGGGGAGGGAGCCTGCCCATGGTCCTATCTCCCCCCACCCCCAGATGCTGTTGGGCTATGCCAACGCCACCCCGCGGGGTCTGGACTTCCTGGACTTCCTGGACGATGAGCTCACCTACAAGACACTCTTCGTTCCTGTCAATGAAGGCTTCCTGGATAACATGGTAACTGGCAGGGGCTGTGGGCAGAGCCAGGCCCGACGCTGACACCTCAGGCTGGCCTGGGCCAACAGGCCTTGCTCTGCCCACAGACGCTGAGTGGCCCCGACCTGGAGCTTCACGCCTCCAACACCACCTTCCTGAGCGCCAATGCCAGCGAGGATGCTGTGCTCCCTGCCCACTCGGGCCTCAGCCTCGTCTTCAGTGCTGCGGACCCTGACAACAGTTCCTGGGCCCCGGTGGTGAGTGTGGCCGCCGCACCTCCCCTCTGGCCCCAGCCGTCAAGCACCCACTAGGCCTGACTCTGGTCTCTCTCCAGGCCCCAGGGGCAGTTGTGCTTAGCCGTGTCATCGTGTGGGACATCATGGCATTCAACGGCATCATCCACGCTCTGGCCAGGCCCCTCCTGGCCCCCCTACAGCCTGTGAGTTGGGGGGGGTGGGGGGGGGATGAGGGGACAGCCCTGGCCCGTGTGGCCTTGACGCTCTCCTTATTTACAGCAGGCGGTGGTGGCAGCTGAGGCTCCACCTGTGGCGGCAGGTGTGGGGGCTCTGGTAGCCGCTGGAGCACTGCTCGGCCTAGTGGCTGGAGCCTTCTACCTCCGCGCTCGGGGCAAGGCCACAGGCTTTGGCTTTTCCACCTTCCAGGTAGGGCCGTGTTGCGGTGGGGTGGGGGGCTGAGGGTGTCCAGGTCCATCTTGCTGGAAGCCCCTCACCACTCCCCTCTCTTCTCAGGCAGAAGATGATGCTGAGGAAGACTTCTCCCCCTGGCAGGAAGGGACCAGCCCAACCCTGGTGTCTGTCCCTAACCCCGTCTTTGGCAGCCATGATGCCTTTTGTGAGCCCTTTGATGTGAGTGTGGGGTGTGAGGGGCGGTAGAAAGGGGCTCAGGGCCCGGTTTCGGCCCAGCCACAAAGGGTCCTCTCCCCACCCCCCAGGACTCGCTCCTGGAGGACGACTTCCCCGACACCCAGAGGATCCTCGCAGTCAAGTGATGCGGCGAGGGTCGGACAGAGGCACAAGGGAGAGGGAGACCACTTTTATTGCCCGTCCTGGACTGACGCCCAGCGTGGGCGGGGCAGGAGGGGTTAGAACCTGCTCTGGACAATAAAGGTGCCCTCAGCGGATGTGGGCCATGTCGCCAAGAAAGGGCGTCTTCATGCAGCCGGTGCAAAGCTGATCCATCCAGAGCGGCGCCTCATGCTGCAGGGGCGTGCGGCGCGGGTAGAAGGTGAAGTCGACACGGTAGTTGAGCAGACAGCTGAGGGAGGCCATGTAGAGGTCAGAGAAGCGCACGAGGCGCCGGGAGAAGTAGGTGGGGTTGTGGAAGGTGCGGAAGATGCTTCCAAACTGGGCGTTGAACAGGGCCTTGGTGACGCACCTGAGGAGGAGACATGGGGCGCTCGAGGGGGCCCAGGAGCCACAGGGCTGGAAGCCCTCCCTGCGCCCTCCCCTGCCCACCTCAGCTCCTGCCGCTCCTTCATCCAGGCCGCCAACACCTGCTGCGATTCGGCGTCCTGGTACGTCTGCAGGAGCCAAGGGGGTGCTGGGGGTGAGTCCAGGAGGCAGCCCCGCCCCCCCGGCCCCCCAGCCCCGCCCCCCCCACCTGCATGCGCTCCAGCAGCCCCGTGAGCGCCTGCTGCCACGTCAGCGAGTGCATGTACTGCTCCGTGTTGATGATGCGGATCTCGCGCTCTAGCTCGGGGATGATGGCCCCCGTTCGCCAGCCGTGCCGTAGCATGAGGTCCTGCGGGGCAGGGTGGGGACGGCGTTCAGCAGTGGCGAGCGGGGCTCCCTCCCTCCCTCCTCACCGGGCCCAGCCTTGCCCCCTCACCGCCAGGTCACTGTACAGGTGGTCTCCAAAGTAGAGTACGCGGGGTCCACGCCATTCTGTCAGGCGCAGGAAGTCATACAGGTTTCCCTGGGGAGAGTGGGGGGGGGGGCACGGCCGAGCGCAGTGTACCAAGGGGCTCCCATGGGGCTGCCAGAACCCCGCCTTGTTCTCGCTGCTCCTCCCAAATCCCCCAGAGGCAGCGAGGCCCCTCCAGCTGGACGCCCGGCTGCCCTTTCCCGTGGCCTCACTGTCCCCGGGCTCTGACCCTTGTCTCCTCCCCCCTCACAGTCAGGAAAGGGGTCTGCCCGCCCCAGGAAAGCCTCCTGTAGGCCTGGCACGGTGCCCTTTGCCTCCAGGGCCTCCCCTCCCTGTGGCCTCACACCCACGCCAGGGATCCCACGCTGTGGGAAACAAACCACAGCAGCAAGCCCATGGCCCCAGAGCCCTTCCTGTTCCTGAGCGTGAGCCCAGAGGGACCCGGCAGACCTCGCGGCGAAGCCATCTGTCCCTCCTGCTCCAGAGCCAGAGCAGAGATGAAAGCGGTCAGGCTCAAACACGACAGAGGAAGCTCTCGCAAGAGCCGAAAACGGGGCAGGGGGCTCAGGGGAGGAAGTGCAGCAGCCGCCGGGCAGGAGCCCACACCCCAGCAATGAGCAGAATCTGCATGCAGCACAAAGTGGTTACTACAGCAGCCCGTGCCTGCCGTGGCCAGGGGAAGCCAGCCCGGGCGGCCACAGGTGGTTGCCAAAGGCTTAACTGTCAAATTAAGCTCAGGTGGGGAGTCAAGTACGAGGGGGCGGAGAGCCGCGGATGGGCCCTGAACCGAGAGACAATCTGGAGGTACAGGTGCTGCGTCAGGCAAGATGGAGCCTGGGGTTCCTGCAAGGGGAGCCAGGGAGGGAGCACAAAGAAAGACGAGAAGCAAGCAGGATCCAGCGCCCACCCACAGTGAAACTTCAGATTGTCAGGCACAAAGAAAAGGCTAAAAGCTGCCAAAGGAGAAAGAGTCCCATGTTCCCCACAAAGCTGCGTGACCCTCCTCAGGCTTAGCTAAGATGCCAAGACACAGGAGCATGTCCCCCTCAGAGGAGGGAAAGAGCCTGCGCCCAAGGGGTCCATGGAGTTGGGGGCCACGGGGTTATGAGTACTGCCCGCAGGCCAGGCCTCGGCTCTGGATCCCCCCCGAGTGCTTCCCCTGACCCCACTGCTGACTTCCTCCCTACCCCAGCCCCTGGAACCTCCACCCTCACGGAGCCCAGCTCAGCCAGGATTTCCGCATTCCATCCAGGACCAAATGCCTTAATCCTGCTCCTTAATCGCCACCCAAACCCCAGCACTAGGCCCCCTTCTCATCTTCCTAGACACCAGCTAGGAAAGGGGGTCTCCCGCAAAGGCCCGTGAGCTGCTCCTACCAGCTCATCTGGCTGTAGCAGAGCGGTCAGCCCCAAGAACTAGTGCCGTTGATCGCCTAGGGGGTTTTTAGTAAATGCCTGGCGAATTTAAGGGCTTTCTACCACAATTCAAGTTGAACACTTTTTTTTGTTTACATTATACCCCTTTTATAGATGAGGAGAAGCAAGACACAGAGAGGCCAAATGACTCGGCTGGACTCCCTCTGTTATGGGGTAGTAAACTTGAAATTCAAACACAGGCAGCCTGACCAGGCCTGTGCCCTGAGAGCCGGTGCGAGGGGGCAGAGGCGTGGCAGATGTGTGGTGGCAGGGCAGGGCCCACGAGGCTGTGCTTCTGTCCCCTCCACAGCCTGGGACCGTGGCAAGGCCACCCAGATGGCACTCACCTGCCGATAGATTTTGCCCTTCTCCAGGCGGGTGATGCGGTCCCAGTGCAGGGAGCCCTTTTCATCGAGTTTTCTGAAAGGCCTGGTGCGGGGTGGGGAGGGGCCGGTAAGGGGCTGGATTTCCCGTGTGGGGCAGGGTGGGGGGCGGGCACCTCCCCCACCTGCTCACACGTGCCATGGGCCGACAAGGGGGTGTCTCTACTCCAAGCATGCAGGGTGCTGAGCAAAGGCCAGGCCCCACGCCCTGGCCCCATCACCCCTTGCTAGGCCCATACTTGCGCCGGTCAGTGAAGAAGCTGGGTTTGTCTGCCTGGACGATGACCACATCGAAGAGCTGGCGCCAGTCGGGACCCACCATGTGCCGCATCCCCTGGTCCCTGGGCGGAGGCAGAGGTGGGGCAGAGGTGGGACAGGGAGCAGGGGGATGGGGTGGGGGGCGGGGCAGAGGGAGAGCCCTCCCCCAGCCCACCTGCTCCCTCCTCCCCACCGCGGGCAGCTGGGCAGCGGGCAGCTCACACGAAGCTGAAAGGGCTGTTGGTGATGAGGAACAGCTGCTTCCCATGCGCCACCAGGCGGCTCAGGACAGCGAACGTCTCGTCCCCTCTCAGGATGTACTTCTCTAATGGGGAGATGGGTGTGTGAGGGCCAGCCCGGCGCCCTACCCAGGAAGCCGCAGGAGGGGCTGCCACGGTCTACCCTTACCCATATCCCGCTCGATCCACTGGTACATGAGGCCCTTCACGTGCACGTCTCGAATGGCATCCTGGGGGCAGTGGAGGGACAGTAAGGGTGCAGTGGGGCCTAGGAAGCGGGCCCTGCTGTGGCCGACTTTACCTTCCCTGCCACCCTGAGAGGCCGAAGGTCCTCACCGTCACGTCCTTGTAGAGGTGCGCCTGGTCAAACTCCAGGCTGTGCCCCAGGAAGTGGTCTACCACACAGGACAGCAGGGCCATCTCCGGCAGCGAGAAGATGTCCATGAACTGCTTGATGGAGGGACCCTGCAGAGGGGGCCACCACCTCAGCAAGCCCCCGCCCCCCGCCAGCCCTGGAGACCAAGGGCTCTGAATCTGCCCTGCCATACTGGTAGAGGGGCACGGGCTGCAGGGCAGGGCAGGCCCACCAGGGTGTGGGCCCCCGTAGCGAGATCACTGCGCTGGCCACCCGGGGCGGAGGCAGATGGAGTGAGTACCTTGCCGTAGAAGCCGCTCATCTGGTACAGTGGGATATGCTGGGTGCCCCCATATAAATCGATCACCTCCTCGTCAGGCACAGGCTGGAGGCCCCTGGGTGGGTGTGCAGACATCATGAGTCCAAAGTGGTCCTGAGCCGAGGACACGGTATAGTTGGGGGTGGGGGGGGGAGCAGGGTGAGGCCGGGCAGTCTGCACTGACCTGTAGGCCGTCCCCAGCTGCACGTAATGGAAGGCGTCGATCTTCATCAGAAGGCTCTGGGAATGCCAGAGGAGTGGGATGGGTGGCGAGAAAGGGGTCTGCAGCGGCCCTGAGCCGGCCTCTTCCAGCCTCTGTGCCCAAGCCCCGATGGGAAGGTACTGAGGGGATCATGTGCCCGTCGAGAGGAAGCTACAGCTTTGAGGCCAAGGGGGTAGCCCTCCTTTAGAGAACGAGGGCTAAGGAGGTAGTGCTGATACACATCTGCTCAGGCGAGGTCACTGGAGTCTGTGGCCTAGCCACTCACCTTCTGAATGTCGTAGTGGAGGCCTCGGATGGCAAAGCTGGGGTCATAGTCATACTTCCGGATCCCCTCTGGGTACTGTCGGGGGGAAGTGGGCCAGGCCTGAGCCAGGAGCACTACCAGACCTCTGGCAGGGGCAGCCGCCTCAGGGGACCCCCATGACTCAGCCTGGCGTCTCTTCAGCGCCGGGGCTACCTGCCTGGCCGGCCTCACCTTGTAGTGCTCAATCAGGATGTCACGGGCAGCACTGAAGATCTCGGGGTGCAGCGCGTCTGCATACTGGGCCAGCGTGTAGTCGTAGTCGAAGCCATAGACTTCGACATCACGCAGGCTGATCTCGTTGTTGGCGTAGATGGCCGCTGGGTTCAGGAGACTGCAGACCTCGGGGGGCAGGAGGTCTGGAGGGAGGAGATGCAGGTATGAGGAAGAAGGTGGACACAGCAGCAGCAAATGGTTACTGAGCACTTTCCAGGTGCCTAGGCCTGGGAGCCTCATGAAACCACCCAGGATGGGTCATCTTACCCCAGGCTGCATATGGTCAAACTGAGGCTGAGAGAGGCCACTTGCCCAGGGTCACATGGTTGGGGTAAGGCAGAGCTGGCAATGGGCCAAGGCCCGGCCGGAGCTCTTAGCTATGGGTCTTGGGTTACAGCAGTGCCTGCAGCCCAGCAGGTACACCGAGTCCAGGTTTCCTCCAGGCTCCCAGAAGCCCCATCGGAGCCATGGCTACGCTCAGACCCTTTCCACCTTGCCTGCAGCCTGGGCTGGGGCTGAGAAACATGACGGGAGTGGGGGGTACTGGGTAGCTCCTGTCACTCGCACTCCCAGCTCGGAGCACCT